GTGTGATGGTGATATCAACCGCCAAAGTAGCAGTCGTCATCTTTCAAGGTGTACCCAGCACATGTACACCACCCCCCTCTCCTCGCGTTTGCACCCCTGTTCACACAAAGCCACCACCAGCTCCCACCAGCTCCCACCAGCTTCAACCAGCAGCAACGGTTCGTGGTCTGCCACCAATCGTGTTCTCTTCTCTTCCTCCTCCACTTCTGCTCCGTCTTTGTGTGTGTGTGTGTGTGTGTGAATTTTTGGCGAAGGAAGAAGGACTTCACACAACGATGACGATGACGATGATGGTGGTCATGGTGGTCTGATTCCCCTTCCAAGCCTTGCAGCATTCCTCCTGCTGGCTGCCAAGGCCACTGCTTCCTGAGGGTCGTCGTTTGGGTCGACGGGGTTAGGGGTTGTTGTGATGGGGGACAATGTCAGCCAATAGCTTGGACCAGCGCCGGCCCAGCATAACGCTGCGCACAAGACGGTAAAGATAACATTGTCGTGTGTTTTGTTTTTGTGTATGTCCAGTCCTGCGCTGTCTGTGGTGTCTGCCGGTGTCTGCGTTAACCTGTGGTGACAATGCTGTACTGCGACCGCACTGAATGCTGCCTCGATACGTGATGGCGTCTCGTGTGCTCACCGACACGCATATTGAAGGCACGCCACCCTCTCGACAAAGCTCCAGACAAGCTGCGCACTGCAGGGTTGCAGTGACATTTTGGCGCCAAACCCATTTCACCTGTACGCATCTGAGAGGGCATATGTGTGTATGCGTGTTGTGTGTATGTACATGTGCATCTGCACATATGCGTGTGCATGCGTGTGCATGGCTACGGCATGCATGCGTGCATGTTTGTGCCTTTCGCAGCTGCTGTCGAAGCCACAAGTATTATTCTTGTTGATTATTGTGCAGTTGTGTCTGTGTGTGCATGTATGCGCTGTGCGCTGTGCGCGCACACACACACACACACACTCTCTCTCTCTCTCTCTTGTGCGTGCGTGTGCATGCTGCTGCCTCTTTGTCGTTCTGCGCATACCTTGTCCCTTCCCTTCATGCACAAGCACCCGTCCTGCCTATTTTAGCAGATCCAGTTTGCCAGCATGCATCTGGCCCTGCCATCCTTGGCGCGCTGATACGGGCTCCTCCACAGACCCTTTGTCGAGAAGGGCAACTCCATCGTGCTGTCGCCTTTGGACCGTCACCTTTCACTGCGATCCTCTTCCACCCTTCTTTCCCACCCGACACCCTCTTCCTCTTCGTCTCGATCCCCTTTCATGCATTCGTGTTGCTTGTCCGTGCCTGTGCAATCCGTTCTGCTCTGCGCCCGACAATGGCTCGACAAGAAGGTGAGGCTGCCCACTGATGCGGTGGCTGTGCTGCCGTGCGTGTCCCTATTATGTGTGCGCATATCTTTGCGATCCAGGATCTGACTTTGTCCCTTGCTGGGCGTGCACACGTGGGTGTAAGTGTGTGTGTGTATATATATATGTGTATATGTGTTTGTGTTTGTGTGTGTGTGTGTGTGTCTGTCTGCGTCTGTTTCACCGGATTCGGTGAGGCAGTGCATGGATCACTCACCCATCCGCCTTCCTCCCCTTCTCGCTCACCAGCACGCCCATGCATCATGTCGGTAACAGCCCCAAGACAGCTCAGGCACCCACATGCACGCTCACAAGGAACACCGTGTGCAACCAGCTAGCAAGCCGGCTGTGCTGTCTGTGCTGTGCTGTGCTGTGCCGTGTATACGCTCGGGCACACTCCCAAATGAGGTGCCACGTGCAGTCTTCTCTCTGTTTCCCGCTTCCTTTCCGAGCCAACACTGCCCCTTACCCTTCGCCCTTCCTCTTCTGCAGCGCACACATGGTGCGCCTCCCTTCTTGTTCCTTTTGGGCTGCTTCACTTGCATGCCTGCGCGAACTTCTAGTGCAGCAAACGCATCCCTTTTCCTCCCTCACCCAAACACACGCACACACACATATACGTCTGTGTTCCCGCTACCACGCCCTCTCCACACCCAGCTGAGGGTGCGCGCAGACATGAGCGATCGTGGTTCGCGCTTGCTGCCGCCAAGCTGCTCGGTGTGTGGCTCCCCACCCTTACTACATCAGTGCCTGTATGCATCTGCGTCGCTGTGTATGAGTATTCTACGTTTAAATTGCTTGCTCAACATTCTATTCTGCCATCGCTTGTCCTTTCCCCTGTGTGTCCGCGCCTTTGGCTGCCACTCCTGCACGGCAACACAGGCACACACATATTAATACATACACATACACATACATATACACATACACATACACATACACATACACATACACATACACATACATACACATGCTCACGCGCTCACACCCACACACTCTCTCAGCCATGTAGGCGTTCACACGCGGTGGTGTCCCCTGCCCCGCCGCATATGTGTGCATTTTGGTTATTGACGTTTGCCGGCCAATGCACACGACTGTGGCGCAGCCGTTCTTCTTCCCCTCCTCCCTCTCCTCCTCTTTGCCCCCCCCCCCAGTTCTCCCTCTTCTCCTTCAGCAGCGCCGCCGTCGTCTCTGTGAGCGCTGCAGCCTGGGAGTGGGCCGCAGCCCCACCCATCTCAAACGTAGCGGCTTGCTCCAGCCGTTACTCTGCGCCCTGGATACCGCCTTTCTCCCTCACCCGCCTCGCTCGTCCTTGCTGCTTGACCTCTACTCCCACAGGTACAACTTCACACGCACGCGAAGTCCATGCCCTGCACCGCTCTCCTTGCCCCACGGCCGTCCATGGTCATGTGCTCTCTGCTGGCTTTCGCCTTGCTTCCATTGCATCACCATCATCATCGCACACACGCACACTTCAGGCAGCGCGCAGATACATTCACGCACATACACACTCTCTTTCCTCCTCTTTCTTTTACTTCATCCCTTGCCTTCCTCCCTCCCCCGGTCTCCTGTGCAGTTGTTCTTCGCCATTGGGCCCACCTCCTTCGCTTGCGAGATGCCGCAACCCATATCGCCATCGTTGCCACTGGCGCTCATGCCCGTCCTCCTGGCCGTCCCCCCCCCCCTTGCAACCACGCCCATCTGTCAACACGCGCTCACAGACGCGCGCACGTGCTGGCATGTGCTGACGGGGTGCTACCCGCTGGTTGCTTGCTTGCTTGCTTGGCTTTGTCCTCCACCTGTCTCTGCTCCTTTCCACCCACAACACTCCCATATGACGCCGCTTTCTTCTCGTTTTCTCGCTTCATATCGTGTGTGTCTTTGGCATGTGTGCTCTGCGCCCCTCCTCTTCCCCTCTTCCCCCCTCTTGCTTTTGCATTAAACGAGTCACTGGTTTGGGCTGTGTGTGGTGTGTATTGGAAGGGCAATGGAACAGGGGAAAAGAAACGGATGGTTCAAATGACGCGCGCACAAGGCACAAGCAAGCCGTCACAATCAGTTGGCAGCGTCGTCGTCGTCAGCCTGCACCACGGCGGCGGGGGCGTCGTCGATGAAGTCCTTCGAGTTGACAAAGTCGTCGGCGAGCGTGAGCATGGTTCGCTTGGCGTGAGCAACAGCGTCTGGGCGGCCGCTCAGCCACATATCAGCGACCTGGCCCCTCACGAGGATATGGGTGATGGCTGCCCCAGTCAGCATGCGAATCTTGGCGACGAGACGGCTGTCGAGGAGGAAGTAGTTGGCCAGGCCCGCAGGGATGACGACGCATTCCTCCACTTCGGCGGGGGCCGCAAGCTCGCAGGCCCTCACGAGGGCCATGCAATACTGATGAATTGGGAAAGGACCCATGGTAGTGGTGGTCGGGGGGTTGGGTGACTCAAGGTGCAAACAGGTGGGCAACAAGTTACGTTGGGGCACTGGAGGTGCGAAAATGAACAACAAGAGAAAACAACAACTGTCAGGAGAGGGCGTAAGGGAAAGGAGTGTGCTGTTGGAGGAAAGGGGGGGGGGGGCGAACGCTCAGGGTGATGCCTTTTTTCTACAATGATTTCGAACACTTTTCATCTCGCCAACTCTCTGTGGCCACGATGCACATGGTGTCATGACAAGGCGCACTTGTCGCCCCTCCTGTCACAGTGTCACTATCCACCGAGACGCAACGCTTGTGCAAACAATGGAAGAAAGTATGCAGGCAACAAGCAAGACAAGACACACCCGTGCACACACGCGCATACACGTGCACACACGCGCGCACGCGCACACACACATACACACACGCACACACGCACACGCACACACAAAACAACAACAACAACAACAACAATAAGAACAAGAAAGAAAGAAAGTTTAAGCACGCTTGGCTTTCTTGGAACCATGTCCCGAGCCCTCCTCGTCTTCCTCATCCTCTTCCTCCTCCTTCGCCGCTTTGCTGCGCACTCGACTATGCTGTGGCCGCGCAAACGAGGCTTTCGGCTTGCCGGGGACTGGCGTGAAGAACTGCTGGCGCAGGTCTGGTGGCATGGCATCAGGTGAGTCGTACGTGCGCTTGCTGCCCGCTGCATGCACATCACTGCCGCCGCTGCTGCGTGTGCTGTTGCCGCTGTTGGTGGTCGAGGCAGCCCCAGCCGTGCGTTGTTGTCGTGTATGATTGCCTTTCAGCGACGCACGGCGGCCCTTAGGCGGTGGCACCTCCGCAGCCGTGTCTGCCGGCACAGGCGATGGTGATGCTGAAGACCGCAGCGACGACGACGACGACGACGACGGCGAGGAGGTCGGTGACGACGACGACGATGATGATGGTGATGATGATGATGATGATGATGTGGTTGTAGTTGTTGATGATGCAGATGATGATGATGATGATGACGACGACGACGACGAGGTAGTAGTCGTGGTTGTTGACAGGGCAGGAGAGCCGCGCACAGACGTGGAGGAGGCCGATGAAGCGGATGTTGTTGTTGTTGTTGGCATCGTCATGGTTGTTGCTCGTGGTTGTGTTGCTGTTGTCGCTGTTGTCGCTGCTGCCGCAGAAAGCAGTGGCGACGGCGCTTGCATTGGGTTTGCCGTGACAGCGGCAGGCCGGGCAGTGGTGGCAGCAGCAAAACAAACCGGTGCAATCGACGATCCCGCTGCTGTTGTCATGCTTGGAGTCCACGACACGGGTGCAGGTGCGTGCGGCATCATGAACTGCTGCGTGCTCAGCCAGGGCTGGGGAATGGCGGGGGAAGGGAACGAAGGATACATCAACTGCTGAAAAGGAGGAAAGGTGGGTGGCTGGCGTGTCAAGCCCTGCATCATGATCATTTGCTGTTGTGGTTGCATCTGTGGCATGCGTGTGTATGGCATCATCATGGACGGGTGGGCACCAGCCATTGCCGCGGCAAGCGGTGGCATCGACTGCCGTTGATGTTGCCGTTGTTGTTGTTGTTGTTGTTGTTGCTGTTGTTGTTGCTGCTGCTGCTGCTGTTGTTGTTGTTGTCGCTGCTGATAGCTTTGCGGATAGTGTTGTGGCTGCTGATAGCTTTGCGGATACTGCTGTTGCTGCTGTAACTGCAGTTGCTGCTGTGTGGCTGCCGCTGTTGTGAAGGCAAGAGGCCCGCGCGCGTTGTGCGGCGCGAGGGTTGGCAGCGAAGAGAGTCCAGGTATCGTCTGCTTCGGCTGCGGTGTTTGGCGTGCTGTTGCCTTTTTGCTTGCTTTGTCTCTGCCTGTTTTCTTGGATGCTTTGCTCCTGGGTGCGCCTGTTGTGCGTGCGGTCGCCGCCATATCTGCTGCTGTTGTTGCAGTTGAGGGTGATGATGATGACGGTGCCTTCTTAGAGACAGAATCTCGCGTGGTCGATGGTGCTGATGTGGAGCCCGTCGCTGCTGCGTGCGGCCGGAACACATCACCAAAGATGGGTGGCTGTACACCGGTTGGTACCGACACCGATGCATCACCTTCGACCAACCACGCCGTCTTCTGCTGCAGGCGAAGATTGCGCAATGCCTGTCGCTCGCGCTCACGTGCTCTGCTGGCCTGCTCCGCCTCGTCAAGAGGGTACACGGGGCTGTGGTCTGATGTGAACAGGTCGCCATTGAAGGTGCGCGCATATGCCGGCGTTGTCACGCTGACGTCCCGTGATGCGTGCAGCGCGTGGCTGCCAAACACAATGAACCATGGTTGTGTCACGCACCACGGCACCAACGTATCCTCCTGTGCATACGCGTACACATCTTTTTCCACGCGTGCATGTGCATGCGAGTGTGCGTATACGAGTATACGTATGCATGTGTATGTGTGCGTATACGTGTGTGCATGCGAGTGTGCGTGTGCGTACGTGGGCATGTGTTTGCGTACATGTGCATGCGAGTGTGTGGAGCAAGCAGTAAAGAGGTGAGAATCAATTTGGAATGGTGCACAATGAGACAATGTCATGACCCCAGAAAGCGAGAGAAAAAAGAGGGCAATCACACATGGAGCACTCGCATGCATGCGGCCACACAAATCACACACCAACAAGCAAACACAGAGCAAGCGGCGGCAGTCATGCAATGTGCTTGCCCCATTGGGTTGTCATCGCATGCAAGCGTGGTTAGGTGTTGGAGGTGGATGTGCAATACTCACAGGCTGAAAACGGCTTGTTGGAAACGTTCCACGTGTTGTCCTTGGTCATAAAGTACAGAAACAGGTCAGGCGCATCGTCTGTGTGTGTGTGCGGTTTGTGTGTGTGCGTGTGTGCGTGTTCATGTGGTTGTGTGTGTGTATGTGGTTGTGTGTGTGCATGTGTGTGTGCGTGTCGGTATACGTGCGTGTGTACGTGCACGTGTGTGTGTGTGTGCGCGTGTGTATGTGAGAGACAGCTGAGTATGAGCATCGTCACGCAAGCCACGCTGACATGAGAATCAGAACACAAAACACGCACGCATGCATCGTTCCCTCACACACACACACACACACACACACACACACACTCTCTCTCTCTCTCTCTCTCTCTCTCTCTCTTTTGAAGCGGCACCTTGGGCGGGCTTGTGGTAGATCATACGCAGGTCATCATCCTCTCGTCCGAGCGCCGTCGCGTCTTCGGGCGTCACTGCGAGATACGTTCCGTTGAGCCGCCGTGAAAGGCCCTCGCACCCGCTCATCACAACAGGCAGGCTCGTCCACATGTCCAGCGTGCACCCTGAACAGATGTATGCGTGTGTGTGTGTGTGTGTGTGTGCGTGCGTGTGTGCGCGCGCGTGTGTGTGTGTGCGTGCGTATGTGTGCGTGCGTATATGTGTGTGTGTGTGTGTTTGTGTGTAAACGAACATGCAATTGTGAACAGGGGTTGGGTCAAAATGCCGCACGCACGCAGGCAGACGCGCACACAAGCAGACGCACGCACGCACACACACACACACACACACACACTCACACACACGCACCATCGTAGTTTGCGACGATATCTGGAAGGAGGTTGACTGCAGGATCTGTAGTGTTGAGCGCAAGGAACTTTGGTCGGTCCACTGGCGCGAGCGGTGGGAGCAGCGTGGACCTTCGTGCCACATGTCGTGTTGCTGTTGCTGTTGTGGGTGTGGGTGCACTCGTTGTAGCAGCAGCAGCTGGTGGTGGTGGTGGTGGCGTTGGAAACTGTTGTGTCGAAGAAGAGGGTGATGATGATGATGCGGGAGCGGAGACAGCACCGAGCCAGCGCTGTCGGCCAGCTTGGGATGCGCCAACCTTTGGCATGGCAGCGGCAGCCATCGTCATGCTCACATCATCGCCATGTTGCAGTGGCTGCGACGGCACCTCATCCAGACCCAAGGGCACACTGTCCCCGGTCTTGGTGGTAGGTGAGACCTGCACGCCCGTGGGCTGTACGCGCTCTGCATTTGAAGCGATTGGAGGCGAGACGCCGGCCAGCTTGAACAATTCGTGCACTTTCCTGTTGTGGCAGTTGCCCGAAATGGCCAACAGAAAGGGCAAGTCAAAGCACAGCACCAAAACAGGCATGTGAGAAGAGGAATGCGCGCGTGTGGGGCACACTGCATGACACACGCAAGCATCACCGGGAAGGAAGGAAGGGAAGAGAGGGAGGGGAGGGGAGGGAGGGCACACGCGCACACACACACACACACACACACACACACACACACACACACACACACACACACACACACAAAGAGCAACGCACACGCACACACAGACAGCCTGGAAGGAGCGGGGTTGTGTGCGCTTACGCGTGAAGGAGTGCGAGTGTGTCGAATTCCTTCCACTGGGTCTTCAGTGCCTGACGCAATCCTCGCAACTTGGCTGCCTCCGTCTTGATCTCAGCCTTCTCGTGTTCGTGTGTGTGTGTGTGTGTGTGTGTGTGTGTGTGTGTGTGTGTGTGTGTGTGTGTGTGTGTGTGTGTGTGTGTGTGTGTGTGTGTGTGTGTGTGCTCTGGCCCACCACACTTTGCACTGAACGCGAGTGTGTACTTGTTTTTTCACTGAAGGAGCATGGCGATTGCACGGCACCGCGAGCAGTCAATCTACA